ATTGGCTGGAATGTGATTGATGGTGCCTTTTAATGTAAGGTGACGTGTCAGGGTATCGGTATCAGTGATATTTGTAACGCTAATTACTGAATATTTCTTAATTGATTGGGTTTGCCAGCATGTGATGCTGAAAACTTATATTTCTAATTGATACCTTTACTGTTAAGATATTTAATGTGGCTGTAATTCGTATAAGTAGTTTTTTAATATTTCAATAATGTTTTCTTTATTATTATATTTATACAAAAACTCGGACATAGGAGAGAGAAGCTCATGATGACGTTACGGTCCGTCTGGACAATTTACAAGCTGCGCTAACACACGAAGGTGACGGAGCCAATATACAGCCTCTCCTCATTTAACGACGAAGTCCCGTTCCTAAGACCACGTCGTTAAACGAATTCGTCGTTAAGTGAGGAGCATACTATAATGGTAGTGAGTTTGAGTTAACCATATCTGATATTGTTTTAATGTCACCTATGCACCATTCATAACATTTCTGGTATATTTTTAAATGTTTATACATCAGTGTACTGTATATTGAAATAAACTGAATAAAGCTATGAATACTGGTCAGAGAGCCCGTCATAAGTCTGAGGCGTCGGTAAACAAGTACGTCGCTATGTGAGGAGAGGTTGGGTATGGAAGAGGGGGGACAGGAAGAGAAAGAGAGGAAGAAGGAACATTGTTTTTACAATTTTACTTAATTGTAATTAATGTACAATAGATCTTGATAGTTTGTCATTTAATGTGAAAGCAAAATAAATAATAGGTTATTTAGTATGACGAACACAGGTGTATAATGGTGTGCACACCTTGTTATATTGGGATAAATAGTGGAACAAGACGAACACAGGTGTATAATGGTCTGCACACCTTGTTATATTGGGATAAATAGTGGAACAAGACGAACACAGGTGTATAATGGTCTGCACACCTTGTTATATTGGGATAAATAGTGGAACAAGACGAACACAGGTGTATAATGGTCTGCACACCTTGTTATATTGGGATAAATAGTGGAACAAGACGAACACAGGTGTATAATGGTCTGCACACCTTGTTATATTGGGATAAATAGTGGAACAAGACGAACACAGGTGTATAATGGTCTGCACACCTTGTTATATTGGGATAATAGTGGAACAAGACGAACACAGGTGTATAATGGTGTGCACACCTTGTTATATTGGGATAAATAGTGGAACAAGACGAACACAGGTGTATAATGGTGTGCACACCTTGTTATATTGGGATAAATAGTGGAACATAGACGAAGACGAGGTGTATAATGGTCTGCACACCTTGTTATATTGGGATAAATAGTGGGAACAAGACGAACACAGGTGTATAATGGTCTGCACACCTTGTTATATTGGGATAAATAGTGGAACAAGACGAAGACAGGTGTATAATTGGTGTGCACACCTTGTTATATTGGGATAATATAGTGGAACAAGACGAACACAGGTGTATAATGGTCTGCACACCTTGTTATATTGGGATAAATAGTGGAACAAGACGAAGACAGGTGTTATATGGTGTGCACACCTTGTTTATATTGGGATAAATAGTGGAACAAGACGAACACAGGTGTATAATGGTCTGCACACCTTGTTATATTGGGATAAATAGTGGAACAAGACGAACACAGGTGTATAATGGTGTGCACACCTTGTTATATTGGGATATATAGTGGAACAAGACGAACACAGGTTGTATAATGGTCTGCACACCTTGTTAATTGGGATAAATAGTGGAACAAGACGAACACAGGTGTATAATGGTCTGCACACCTTGTTATATTGGGATAAATAGTGGAACAAGAAGAACACAAGTGTATAATGGTCTGCCACACCTTGTTATATTGGGATAAATAGTGGAACAAGACGAACACAGGTGTATAATGGTGTGCAACACCTTGTTATATTGGGATAAATAGTGGAACAAGACGAACACAGGTGTATAATGGTCTGCACAACCTTGTTATATTGGGATAAAAGTGGAACAAGACGAACACAGGTGTATAATGGTCTGCACACCTTGTTATATTGGGATAAATAGTGGAACAAGACGAACACAGGTGTATAATGGTGTGCACACCTTGTTATATTGGGTAAATAGTGGAACAAGACAAACACAGGTGTATAATGGTCTGCACACCTTGTTATATTTGGGATAAATAGTGGAACAAGACGAAACACAGGTGTATAATGGTGTGCACACCTTGTTATATTGGGATAAATAGTGGAACAAGACGAACACAGGTGTATAATGGTCTGCACACCTTGTTATATTGGGATAAATAGTGGAACAAGACAAACACAGGTGTATAATGGTCTGCACACCTTGTTATATTGGGATAAATAGTGGAACAAGACGAACACAGGTGTATAATGGTGTGCACACCTTGTTATATTGGGATAAATAGTGGAACAAGACGAACACAGGTGTATAATGGTCTGCACACCTTGTTATATTGGGATAAATAGTGGAACAAGACGAACACAGGTGTATAATGGTCTGCACACCTTGTTATATTGGGATAAATAGTGGAACAAGACAAACACAGGTGTATAAGGTCTGCACACTTGTTATATTGGATAAATAGTGGAACAAGACGAACACAGGTGTATAATGGTCTGCACACCTTGTTATATTGGGATAAATAGTGGAACAAGACGAACACAGGTGTATAATGGTCTGCACACCTTGTTATATTGGGATAAATAGTGGAACAAGACGAACACAGGTGTATAATGGTCTGCACACCTTGTTATATTGGGATAAATAGTGGAACAAGACGACACAGGTGTATAATGGTGTGCACACCTTGTTATATTGGGATAATAGTGGAACAAGACGAACACAGGTGTATAATGGTGTGCACACCTTGTTATATTGTGGATAAATAGTGGAACAAGACGAACACAGGTGTATAATGGTGTGCACACACTTGTTATATTGGGATAAATAGTGGAACAAGACGAACACAGGTGTATAATGGTCTTGCACACCTTGTTATATTGGATAAATAGTGGAACAAGACGAACACAGGTGTATAATGGTGTGCACACCTTGTTATATTGGGATAAATAGTGGAACAAGACGAACACAGGTGTATAATGGTGTGCACACACCTTGTTATATTGGGATAAATAGTGGAAACAAGACGAACACAGGTGTATAATGGCTGCACACCTTGTTATATTGGGATAAATAGTGGAACAAGACGAACACAGGTGTATAATGGTCTGCACACCTTGTTATATTGGGATAAATAGGGAACAAGACGAACACAGGCGTATAATGGTCTGCACACCTTGTTATATTGGGATAAATAGTGGAACAAGACGAACACAGGTGTATAATGGTGTGCACACCTTGTTATATTGGGATAAATAGTGGAACAGACGAACACAGGTGTATAATGGTGTGCACACCTTGTTATATTGGGATAAATAGTGGAACAAGACGAACACAGGTGTATAATGGTGTGCACACCTTGTTATATTGGGATAAATAGTGGAACAAGACGAACACAGGTGTATAATGGTCTGCACACCTTGTTATATTGGGATAAATAGTGGAACAAGACGAACACAGGTGTATAATGGTCTGCACACCTTGTTATATTGGGATAAATAGTGGAACAAGACGAACACAGTGTATAATGGTCTGCACACCTTGTTATATTGGGATAAATAGTGGAACAAGACGAACACAGGTGTATAATGGTCTGCACACCTTGTTATATTGGGATAAATGTGGAACAAGACGAACACAGGTGTATAATGGTCTGCACACCTTGTTATATTGGGATAAATAGTGGAACCAAGACGAAACAGGTGTATAATGGTGTGCACACCTTGTTATATTGGGATAAATAGTGGAACAGACGAACACAGGTGTATAATGGTGTGCACACCTTGTTATATTGGGATAAATAGTGGAACAAGACGAACACAGGTGTATAATGGTCTGCACACCTTGTTATATTGGGATAAATAGTGGAACAAGACGAACCCAGGTGTATAATGGTGTGCACACCTTGTTATATTGGGATAAATAGTGGAACAAGACGAACACAGGTGTATAATGGTCTGCACACCTTGTTATATTGGGATAATAGTGAACAAGACGAACACAGGTGTATAATGGTCTGCACACCTTGTTATATTGGGATAAATAGTGGAACAAGACGAACACAGGTGTATAATGGTGTGCACACCTGTTATATTGGGATAAATAGTGGAACAAGACGAACACAGGTGTATAATGGTCTGCACACCTGTTATATTGGGATAAATAGTGGAACAAGACGAACACAGGTGTATAATGGTCTGCACACCTTGTTATATTGGGATAAATAGTGGAACAAGACGAACACAGGTGTATAATGGTCTGCACACCTTGTTATATTGGGATAAATAGTGGAACAAGACGAACACATGTGTATAATGGTCTGCACACCTTGTTATATTGGGATAAATAGTGGAACAAGACGAACACAGGTGTATAATGGTCTGCACACCTTGTTATATTGGGATAAATAGTGGAACAAGACGAACACAGGTGTATAATGGTCTGCACACCTTGTTATATTGGGATAAATAGTGAACAAGACGAACACAGGTGTATAATGGTCTGCACACCTTGTTATATTGGGATAAATAGTGGAACAAGACGAACACAGGTGTATAATGGTCTGCACACCTTGTTATATTGGGATAAATAGTGGAACAAGCAAAAGACAGCAGAAGTTATATGACTTGTATTTCCTTCACCAAAGAAGCAAGCTGATATTTATAATAAATACACTATTTACAATTGTAGATGAATGGTTCAGAGAACCGACATGTTGTTGAATTAGACACATGTGCAACTCTTAAAGATACCCAAGAGTTGCACATGTGTCTAATTCAACAACTATTTACAATATGTACAGTAATGTAAGAGAAAGGGCACAATACGGTGATCAGAAGAGGCAAAAGCAGGAGCCAAAGAAAGCATTGTGAGGGACCAGTAGCCCAGACAAGTCAAAACTCGTGTCACAAGTGAACTACATTGCTTCACAACTCCGGCGGGCTTGTCCGTGATTGGCCGATGAGCTGAGATACTGATATAACGATGGAACCTCTTTTGAGCATTAAATCATTAACACCTGGTTTGCTTGTCGGGAGGCAGCCTATTTGCGAGTGTGACATATGCTGAATAAAATGTAACATACTCGTAGCATGCCACACCCCCACCCCAAAAGGCTCTAATATCCAGAACTAGGTATCCCCTCCATGGGTAGCTTGCCCACAAGACACTAAATTTTAATGGCACCACCTTTCCTCTCAACCATCCAGCTCATTAGGTAGTGTTCAGCTCCAAGTAAGTAACTTTATTCAGGTATACACAAATACAGTTACATAGAAGAGCACTTCTTTTCTTCAGTGGTGAGAGCAGCTCTCTCCACAGAGTACTACACATTCATTTAAACTTTTTAGTGTTTGAATTGAGGTAGTAGTTTTCGTAGGTAATACGTCTATATTCGATGTACAGGGCCTGGGAATCATCTTTACACAAGTTTATTAAACCTCTGTTCCGACTGGCAGCCTGGATGAGGGATTCAATTTTACGAGAAAGAGATTCAATCCTTTTGTCCTTCTGCGATGCTACTCGACTCGGTGCCATTAGTTCGTATTCTCTCTCCTTAGCAAGCGAGCGCTGGAGGTAAAACTGCTTCGTTGCTGTCATCATAAAATGATCGAAGGCGTCGGCTTGTTCTTTCCGTTTCTGACTCAGTTCTTCCCATTTTATCTGCTCATCTTGTAGCTCTCGTATCTTCATATCAATATCCTCACTTAATTCGCGATATTCCTCTACTCGACGGTATTTAACCTCAAACTCGTACTCAAGGGACTCGATCTGGTCTTGCAAGTATTCTTTGCGGCGGCCTTCTGTTTTGTGCTTAACCAAAAGCTCCTCGTGAGCTTTTCTGTCCTTCTCCCGTTGCTCACTAAGGTCATTATAGCCCTGGAGAGCCTCTTCATAACCAGACTTGAGTGACCAAGCCTCCTGTTTTCCTCTTTCAGCTATGGCCTTGGCAAATTCATGGTCATGCTTAAGACTAACATGATAATTGCGGAGGGACTCTATATCACTGTGTTTTTTCTTTAAATCGTCGTCTAAAGAACGTATTTTACCCATCAGATTTTCCTTCTGGAGTAGTTCTTTTTCACGTTCTTCTATTAAATTTCTTCTTCGAAGCCGGTCTTTCTTAAACCTCTTCTTTATTTCTTTCTTTCCCCTTTTCACGTTGTTTCGATCTTGTAGGAGCATCTCGTAGTTCTCCAACTGGTTTCTATGTTGCTTGACAAGGTCTTTGTAATGCCTCGTCTTCTCGTCACGAGCTCTGCTAACCCGAGAGACTCCATCTGGCTCCTTTTCAAGTTTGTCTGAGCAAGTCGATGCTCTTGCTTAAGCTCTGTATGCTTAAGACGGAGAGCGTCCAGTTCACTGTCTCTGGCGTCGACCAGAGCGCGGAGCTTTACACGCTCATCCTCTTCACCCTGGCAGAGCAGAGCTGCCTCATGAACATTGGCGGCACATGCAAGTACTACCTCGTATGCTTCTTCGGTATTGTGTGCAACCTCTTGCTTCTGACGTTTAGATTCGTCTAGGAGGAGCTGCAACTCTTTTATTTGAGCAATAAGTGAAGCATCCTCATTGACGTACTCAGCATGGTGGTCACCCTCGGGATGGGCATATACCTGAGCGTCCTCACCACCAGAATGCATCGGAAAGCCGTCTGCTGGTGTAGGTAGAGTACTACCCACACCAGGTTTGTCTAGTACTATGAGGCTCTCATCCTCACCACCTACAACGTGTGGTGGGCCATGCTCCATGTGGTGAAGCTTGCTTAGTGCCACAAAGCTGGGAGCCTCACCAGGAGCCCCGCGACGTCCCTTACCGCGAGAGCGTCCACGACTGAATGAACGTCCCTCAACAGTAAATAAACCCGGAATGAGAATTATTATGACGATTTTTATTAGAATTAATTTCATTTTTCTAATTATACGATTACTTGTAATACAAAAAACACAAACCGCAGACAGTGGAACTTTATCGAGATGAAAGTTCCATACATGCAAGAATGTTTCTCAAGTTACTGAATGTAATCAGTTCACCACCAGTCGAGAATACTTTAAATCACTGAAGAAAATTTTCATTGTATATACACAGATTATTATTATTATAATCAAAAAGAAGCGCTAAGCCACAAGGGCTATACAGCATATATACACAGAAAGCCATACACATCTCGGTACTCACGGTGAATGACCGGGCTCAGCGGTGCTTGAAAACATTGTATTAATGAATTCCTGTGAAATGCAACATTATCAAATGCACAATCTACTGACTGGAGTTTTGAGGTTCTCTGATCGCGGGTTCAAACCCCACCCGTGGTATCATTTACACAGTCAACTGTAATCACCCACACCCATCATAACGGAAGACTACACTAACGTCCTAGTGCACGCAGAACCACGTGTAACATTCCCAGGTACTACAAGTACTGTGTTGGTGGTGATGGCGACAGTAGCAGTGACAGTGACAGTAGCAGTGACAGTAGCAGTGACAGTGACAGTAACAGTGACAGTGACAGTAGTAGTACAGTGACGACAGTAGCAGTGGCAGTAACAGTGACAGTAGTTGTGATAGAACCTCCACTCTGATACAAGGACGGAGAGGATAGAACCTCCACTCTGATACAAGGACGGAGAGGATAGAACCTCCACTTGATACAAGACGGAGAGGATAGAACCTCCACTCTGATACAAGGACGTGAGAGGATAGAACCTCCACTCTGATACAAGGACGGAGAGGATAGAACCTCCACTCTGATACAAGGACGGAGAGGATAGAACCTCCACTCTGATACAAGGACGGAGAGGATAGAACCTCCACTCTGATACAAGGACGGAGAGGATAGAACCTCCACTCTGATACAAGGACGGAGAGGATAGAACCTCCACTCTGATACAAGGACGGAGAGGATAGAACCTCCACTCTGATACAAGGACGGAGAGGATAGAACCTCCACTCTGATACAAGGACGGAGAGGATAGAACCTCCACTCTGATACAAGGACGGAGAGGATAGAACCTCCACTCTGATAACAAGGACGGAGAGGATAGAACCTCCACTCTGATACAAGGACGGAGAGGATAGAACCTCCACTCTGATACAAGGACGGAGAGGATAGATAACCTCCACTCTGATACAAGGACGGAGAGGATAGAACCTCCACTCTGATACAAGGACGGAGAGGATAGAACCCCACTCTGATACAAGGACGGAGAGGATAGAACCTCCACTCTGATACAAGGACGGAGAGGATAGAACCTCCACTCTGATACAAGGAACGGAGAGGATAGAACTCCACTCTGATACAAGGACGGAGAGGATAGAACTCCACTCTGATACAAGGACGGAGAGGATAGAACCTCCACTCTGATACAAGGACGGAGAGGATAGAACCTCCACTCTGATACAAGGACGGAGAGGATAGAACCTCCACTCTGATACAAGGACGGAGAGGATAGAACCTCCACTCTGATACAAGGACGGAGAGGATAGAACCTCCACTCTGATACAAGGACGGAGAGGATAGAACCTCCACCTTGATACAAGGACGGAGAGGATAGAAACCTCCACTCTGATACAAGGACGGAGAGGATAGAACCTCCACTCTGATACAAGGACGGAGAGGATAGAACCTCCACTCTGATACAAGGACGGAGAGGATAGAACCTCCACTCTGATACAAGGACGGAGAGGATAGAACCTCCACTCTGATACAAGGACGGAGAGGATAGAACCTCCACTCTGATACAAGGACGGAGAGGATAGAACCTCCACTCTGATACAGGACGGAGAGGATAGAACTCCACTCTGATCAAGGACGGAGAGGATAGAACCTCCACTCTGATACAAGGACGGAGAGGATAGAACCTCCACTCTGATACAAGGACGGAGAACAGAACCTCCATTACTAGGGAAATGAATGATTCACGTGGGTTTAGCGCTTCGTTGTTAATTAATATTACGAATTACAATTTATTATATTTATTATTATTATTAGTAGTAGTAGTAGTACTGTTATTATTATTTTATTATTATTATTATTATTATAATTATTAATTATTATTATTATTATTATAATTATTAATTATTATTATTATAAATAAGTGGTCAACACTCATTTTCTGGCCAATTATATTACAGTGACTTTAGGGTAAGTTTGTGGTGCTGATTCCCAATGTCATCGGTTTTGCTTGATTGGCTCTAGTTTTTGATAAATTTGGTATCCCATTGAAAAACATAAAAGATGTGAAAAATATATTGATCAGGCGGGACTAACTTGCAAATAGCATTGAAATTATTCTTTAGATCGCGCAGATCAACACAGACACACTTGTGCTCATGATGGCAAAGCTTCTGCAAAACTATTTGACATTTTCGTATTCTTTAAGTTTTGTTGAGTGAGCAATTGGAAAGAGTGCATTGGGTTATAGTGTGAAATAAGACACATTTCGAACTTCAAATGGAGCTGTCTATAAAACAGCCGCCAATCTCATGGTCGATTTTTTAGGTCTCATTCGAAGAAGTCCAGAGATGTTATGTAGCATACAAGTTCTTCATCTTGGCTAAAAGTAAGGAAGGAGTTCAACCTCTCTTGTCAATAGGATGTTATTTTAACACAGTTCTTGTCTTTTAGTCCTGGATGCTAAAAGTTCAGATTCTTGCTTTGAAAGACTGAGGTCACGTATCAGATCATTGAGTTCTTCTTGGGGAACTGTTGGGCTGTTGAATACTTACTTCATATTCACTTCCACTGCTATCACCTGTGTTACATCCAAAAGGGCCTAAGTTTCTTCAACATCTGACAAGGGAAGGTCAGTGTTGTAAACACTGGTATGGGAACATCTTCATGTTTTGGGCACAGTGATCCTTGCTGATTCCAAATCAGGATATTTCATTTGACTTTTTGTATCGACGGGAAAACTTTCACATTCATCATACAGAAAAACAGTCGTCACGGAGGCTTTACGACTCTCTCCACACCAAAAGCACACCCAAGTTTAAATTTTTCCTTTGCCTATTGTCCCCACTGTCGAAAGCATTCTACACAGGTTTTAAAATCATATGAGGAGCCCAAGACTTGTCCTGTTCTCCAAGCGCCACTCCAAATAAGCAAGATAAGTTGTCTTACAAAAACTGATTTTATTTTTTTTGCAAGAGTATTCGCCACAAATGTAGCAAAATTTATTGAGATTGTTTAAGCGGGACTCTTGTGAAGAACTCATGTTTATTTTGGAGAAATAGAAACATAAAGTTTACAATATTGTTATATGGTCATTGTTGATAAAACTCCTTCGTTATATATTAAATCATTAAAACTTTCTATTATACAAATTGTCACTGTATATACATATAACGCGTTATGGCAAAGTTCCTGTTAATTGAAAGTAGGTATGCAATATCTCACAAAACTAAAAGCCTATTTGAAAACATACTGCCATTTCGAATTCAGCAACCCCAAAATACCTTCAAATATCATTGGCAACTAAAGGGTTTTTTTTACTGCAGGTGCACCTGGGCTTACAAGTGGAATTTGGCACATGGCCTCACTTTGCCCAAATGTCTTTGAAGATGGTTAGAGGCACAATTATCATTCCCTTGCCCCACTTAACAGAGGGGAAGCTGTTACACAGACCTCTCTCAGTCACGGGGTGCAAAAGGGGGGAAAGAAAAGTCATTAAACTTTCTCCGCCCTTTTTATGATGGAAGAACAAGTTCCACCACAAAAAAATTAGAAGGACCAGGGGGTTTAAACGGGTAGAGGAGGAGTAAAAGCAGTAGTAGTAGTGATTGTTATTGTTGCAGTAGGAGTGGTGACAGTAGTTGCGTAGCTTCTACTACCACTACTACTAAATTTTCCCTCCCTCCTCATGTTCTGTCTTCTGGTCTTCTCTATCTTTTTCTCGTTCCTTTGCGAGTTGGCAGTGAAACATTCCTCCGAGGTTTTCTTTCCTAAATGAGAGTTTTCGGTAAAGAAACAGTCATAGCAAAAATGTGCTATTTGCTTTAAGGAGAATAAATTCTTCTCTCATTACTTTTGGGGGGCACATTCTGAGGTGACTGGATTCTTCTCCATCGCCTTGTGTTATATCTGTTCGAGGAATTTGAAGGAGGTGGTACCGCCAGCTTCAGGGGGAACATAAAGACCTCAAATACAGAATTCTTCTGACGTGTTACAGCTACGTCTGAATAAGTTCGGAGACTCTCGGATCCCGAAAAGTTTGCTCTCAAGTTTCCTTAAAAAAAAATTAGGTGATAAACTTGTCAGGGTGACTAAGGACAAGTAGAGGAAATGAATGCATTTTCCTTCACGGGAGGGAATGTGCCAGCAGCTGGGTTTATGAAGGATTAAGTAGCTCACTGACTAGTCGAAGGGAGTAAGTTGCAGGATTTTTTTTTATATTTTATTTAAAACCAACAATTGACAATAGACAAAAGGTAAAACCATAAAGATGACAATATATGAACAATAACTGAAAAAACGTTACATTAGATATTGAAACATTAACGAATAACATTACAATATAACAAATATGACCACTATTACCTACATATAAAATCAGATACTGAAGCTTAAAATTGTCCTATACTAGCTACATGTGGATAAGTTAACTTTCGCAAAAACATGCAAACCTATATTAACTCTTCCTCAAATTAATCATCCTTGCTCTTAATTTACACTAGAATAATAAAATACAAGTATACTTTCATTATTTCGTTACAGACTAAATTCCTTTGCTCTGGACACGGAAAGAAATTTTAGGATAATTAACCAATGATGTCAAGAACAACCCAAAGCAAAACCTACACCGACATACAGGTCCTGAGAAACTGCACGGTCCCGCAGCTGCTCGCCCAGGTGTGCACATGTACATTAACATGAGAACTGCACGGCCCGCGCAGCTGCTCGCCCAGGTGTGCACATGTACATTACACAT